CAGTTGTTCAGATATGTTAAAATAATGTTTTTTCTCATCACTACCTCAAAATTATGGTATTTATTACACCTACCAATTTAATGTGATTATATGTACATATATCTCAATATGATTTATGGCACAAACATTTAAATATTTCAGTAATTTATTGCAATGTAATTTATTTTCTTTACAATACTGTGTGTTTTTGTTTTATGCACTAAAACACTTTTTTCTAAAAAGGTGTCCGTAGGCTTCGTGGCCTGCCAAATGAGACGAACTCCTGAGCTAGGAAATCTCTTTGCCACTCTGGCTATAAATGAAACTCTGCCACTGGCTATCACGGTCATCCCAAACAAGCCCCTTCATCCTTCGATTTCCTCAGTTTCCTCTTCTGTAAAATGGGAATAATGCATGCTTTGTCCAGCTCAGAGCTGCTAGGAGAGCCAAGCCATCTACATTAAGCACACTCAGTTGCAGAGCTTATGCATGTTCATTACATGGGGTCAGCTTCTGAAGTGCTAAGCAAATGCTGAATGTTACTACATTATTCGACTTTAGACCAATTTCCCAGAAATGCTGTTTTTCTGTTACCTCTGGATAAGTGTCCTGCTACAGCCATATATTTCCTAGTGCCAGATTGGGATCGAACTTATAGAAAATTCAATAATAAAGATGAAAATGCACCTTAAGTGCACTTGAATGAACCTACTTAAGAACACAAGGAGATCAAATGAGATTTCACCAATGACTCATAGAGCTTCAAATGTCTAACTCTGAAAAACTTGAGCCAATATACTATGGTTTAAAAAAGTCATGGAACAACATGTCATTTTCTCTTCGAACTCTAAACACAGGGATAATGGGACAAATGACAGGGAATTTGCTTTCCTTTGTAATCTGTGCCTTTAAAGTGTCTGTGAACTACTTATTAAATATTTATTCATCCAAGAAGTCTGCTGAGGTGGCCATAATTAATGTTTGAAATGGCAAAGTAAAGATCTACAAATATCTTGATTCAGTCATTGGGAAGCTTCTTTAAAACTTGGATATATGGATCTACTTTTCCCAAGGTAAATGTTAAGAAGTCTGAGTACAGATTCCAGTATTTTCAGTGAAAACCTGATGTCCAGATTGAGATGCACTTAGTTTGAAAAAGGGAATATAAAATATTCTTTTAATTTTTATACTGATTACATGTTTAAATGATAATATTTTAGACATACTGGATTAAATAACATATTATTTAAATTAATTTCCCTTCCTTTGCTGTTTTTCCCTTCCTTTACTGTTGCTCCTAGAGATATGAAATTACATCTGTGGCTGATATTTTATTGCTATTGGACATGCTGACCTAAGGGAAAAAAGAAATACAGAAATATAAATGCTCAGAATGTTAACCCTTGATTGCGTCTCCTACCAGAAATTTGAATTTGAGGATTGGAACTGGGAAAGAATAAAGAGTAGTAGCATCTTTGGGAAACACTATAGGAATATAGGCTCTACATCTTAATTATGTATATACTTTACATCTCATTGGCATCTGCGACTATTCCTGGATATTGGACCTGCTTTGGCAAGTTCAGGTGCCCCAGCTCTGGGGAAGGTGAAAAATGGTCGCAGGGTATAAAAGCTTTATTCCCAAAGCCGGGCTCAGTAAGCCTCGTGGTACTAATATATCCACTTTGGGCACAGAAAGGACTGAGTCAGTCTAGCATAGATTTATTAAATCTCTAGCTCCAGGGAGCGTAGAAGCACAGAACCTCCCAAAAATTTAGCACAGTGTGTGCATAATAAGTCACTGGGGAGGCAGGAACAATGTCCATCTCTGCCTGCTGATTCTCTGCAAAGCAATTTATTTTAAGTTAAAGTTTGTGCCAGGGTCTGTACAAAGTGGTTTCAGTTTGTTATCCCATTTAAGCCTCATGAAACTTCACGAAGTTAAGTATCAAGATTCAGTGACTCGTCCAAGGTCAGGTCCCACAGCTGCCAAGAGGCAGAGCAGGAATTCACACCCAGGCCTTCTGACTCCAGAACCTTCACTCTTAACCACCGTACTGGACAGCATCCTGTTGTCCTGCCAGGGACCCAAAGGACCGCCTTGAGCACAAGGCTCCTCCTCTTGTACCCTCTGTCATTTCCCACCATGCTGAGACTCCCTCGCCTCTCCCTAGCCTTTGCCCTGCCTCCAGCAGAGCCGACCGAGCGGGCAGCTCCTTCCTGACGGAGGTGTAGGCGCGTGCCACTAAGAAATCACCCAGCTGCTCCCCCAGATAGAAAAGCAAAGAGGAAATGGCTTCTTCGCCACTCTCCTGATTTATTGCTGTACCCACCACAGGATCTAGTATGGTGTCTAGCATTCACTCGTGATTGATTTATTCATGTTCAGCTTCCATGCTTTCCACAAACTCAGGTGCTCAGTCTCCTGTGGGGGGGGAGGGGCATGTAAATGAAAGCTGCACAAATATCACTATTACTGATATTTGTGGTTACCATTAGTAGCACTAGTAATAATTAAATTCCTATCACTGTTAATAATAGTGGTAATATTGTGAAGCCTTCATGAGTAATAATAGTGATTACAATAGTAGCAGATGTTTATTGAGCACTTACTCACTACTTACTAAGCACTACTTGAGCACTGTTAATAAGCACTGTTAAGTGCTGTTAATAGTATTTTTTTTCTTTTTCAAGCAATTCACTTTCTGTGTTTTAAATAAGCCATGACACCATTTAGTTCTTACAGCAACCCTATAAGGTAATTCCAGAAGTCTCAAAATCTCTTCGTGCAACTAGTCAGAACACTGAATGTCCAGTGTCTGGACCATAATTCCTGAAAGAGGGTCATTCACCCATGTGATAACAGGATATTCAACTGTAAGCAAGACAGACATGGTCTCTACCCTGGGCAATATCAACAGAACTGCCATGTAAGTGAAAATCCTTTTTTTCCCCCTTTTACAGAGTGGCCATAAGTGCTAAGACACAAATCTCCATGGTTTCAGGATTTGATCGGTGAGCTTCCATCTGTAAAAATCTGCTCCTTGCATTGTGCTCTATACTTTGGCAACATCTAACTACTTACTGTTAAAGTCAAAAGCAAATGGAGACCAGCCTTGAAGGTTTCCTGAGCAGATAAAATCAATTTAGTCATTAATTTAGCTTATTGCCAATCACTGGGGAGAATGAACAGTAGCTGCTTCCTCACTCACTGAATAAGCTGCTTTATAACAATGTACCCCTGAGCCCCATTCTGTTTTGAGTGCTGCTGGTTTGCAAGCTGTCTTTTTGGTGTGTGCACGACAAAGTTTTACTAATTACTACTTCAGTGATTCATGGGTTTTACTTTGGCTATTTCTGAACCTTGGACATTTCATGGCTTCTGAACAGGGGCCCAAAGAAGATGAACCCCTGAAACCCCCAGGCCGGAGAGCAAACTGGGTGCCAGTACCCACAGAGCTCTGTGGGCTCACTGTGTTCTCACCAACAGGGGATCCTTGGGTTAAGTGTTTCTGGGCTACAGGCTCCCTCCTCTTTGCCTTCTGAGCTCTACAACTGTATTGTACACACTTGTTTTCCATTTCTGTTTTGTTTTTTTTTATGCTATGTTTCTGTTGATGTTTCTAGGTAAGTCACCCACCCTGTTCAGAAGTGGAGTAAACATATTGAAAACAGGGCCCCTCCTAGGTAAGATGTAGGGAATCCAAAAGCAAGAAAGTTTCCACATGTGTCCTTGGACCAGGGTCATGTGCCACTCTCAAAAAATAGGCGAACTTTCAGATATTTGGAATTATAATGGCCGTTCTGGGGAAACTTGGTTTTAGATAAGTCCACCTTAAGGAGTGCTTTTGAAAAGAAAAAAATTTCAAACCACTGGGAGACAATGGAATGCATCATTTGGTATGCAGAAGCTTTTTGGATACAAAATGATTCCAAACATAGCTCTAAAAATATCCTTACAGCATGCAAACAAATATCTTCAGTTAAAGACTAGACATCTGAGAGGGGTTAAGCGACCTTAACTTAGCCCATCTGCCAGAAATACAATTTGGATCTAACTATTCTTTTGAATTTGGTACCTGAGACACGGCTAAAAAAATTTAAAAGGTCTCTGTATCTGTCTATCCATTTATGTATATCTATGTATGATATTATAGATATGTGATATTTTCTACTTCCAAATGGGACTGCCAAAATTAATTTGTAAAAAACTCTATTCCATTGGTTTAAAGTCAAACAAGCTCTATACAAATTAAGTGTACTCTCAGAAATATAGGATCTAACCCAAATGTTTTTCAATTTCACATGACCTGGGATAATCTGTGATAAAAGCTAGTTTAAGTTTAATAAAAAGTCATGTCCTTGAGTTGCCAATATTGAGTGTACTGCAAATGTACAGCTCTGTCTGGGTTAACTAATCAAATAAGCTCATGTTACCTCTGTTACAAAATTCATCAACAACAACAAAAAATAACTTGAGATGATGGTCAGCTGTTTAATGTCCAATCCAAAGCAAGTGATTTAAATAGATTTCAATAAGATGTTTTTGTTAAACTAAATCATGGATATTCATTGACATCCAAATCATTTCCAAGTAAAATAAACATTCCCTGAAATGCTCCTAATATTTTTATAATGCCCTCTTGAAAGGTCCCCTGTGAAGATCATTAGAACGAAAAACTTTACTTTTGGACAAGGTTTATGGAATCCTTCAGGATTCCTCTATACACTGCTAGCATGACAAGTCAGAGTAAAGGAGTAAAAGGAACACTATAAAGACAGCCTTCCTCTTTTCCTTTTTTCCTATGTTTACGCGGAGGTTAGCCGTAACCCAAAATGGCAACCGTCACTCATATTTCAGTCCGTACGATGACGTCACACAGCGCCGTCTCCCCGCATTTCCCAGGATGCTCTGCCAACAGCGACGCCATTGGTCGGCGCCGACGGAAATGCACTTGACAGAGCGGAAGTGAGAGGATCGCAGAGGCTAGGAAGGTGAAGGAGAGAGGAACTGTGAGTGTGGGAGTCGCCACCTGGGTTTTTCTGTTCGGCGGTGACGAATGCAGCCAGGGCACGGACTGTTGGGAAGCGCGCGGCGGCCTCTTCTTTACCCTGGGGCCTTCAACTCCTGCGTTCTTCCCGTAGACCTGGGAGCGGGGAGAAACAAAACATTGCTGTGCAGGCAAAGTCTCCCTATTAAATGTTGCTGTTTTAAGTTTGGGTGGGACGAGCTGATGCGAATTCGGGCTCTTGTCGCGACACAAGGGTTGTTGGCGTGGTTTCGCTGCGACCAGAGGGGTGGGGCTGTGACCGAAGGTCTGACTCAGCTTCTCACGCAGTGGTTCTCAGTTGGTTGCACTTTAGAATCTCCTGGGACGTCTGTTTAAAAATATTGATGCCCTAACCCAACGCCAAACCAATAAATCGGAATTGTGGAGTCTAACATCTGGAATAAAGCGGCCCAGGTGTTATGTTGTGCCTGATTTTAACCCCCACGGGGATCCTGATTTGGATCACCTGCGCCAGGGCTCTCGCTCTACTGTAATCTGCATGGGTTTATCTGACTGATTTGGGTGAGGTTGATGATCGCTGGGCACGGATTGCATTTTGAGCTCCATCAAAAACTTATTCTTGACCTTCGTGTGGTGGTGCTGGAAAGACAAGGCGTATTTTCTTATTTAGGACCTAGCTATTCATTTTTAATAAAGATTAGGGTCAATTCGTTTATCTTGGCATTGTTTTAGTTTCTGCCTATTTTTTGCAATCCCGACAAAATGCAAGCAGTGGAAAGTGGAAGAGTCACATTAAAATCGGTCTCTTTCGTTGCTTATAAGAATTTCTGAAAGGGAAATCAGTTTGGCATAATGTATGGACTCCTAATAATCTGTCTATGTATAAAAAATTCTAATGAAAGGAAGTTAGGGTGTGTTTTGAGTTTTGATGCAGCAGCTTATTTAGATGTGATAGGATTGTTTTTGGAAAATAAGCACCATTGCCTAACATGTTTTTTTTTTTCCCAGAGCCAGCTTCATCTCACTCACTAATTCAGCATGGCGGAGAAGTCAGAAAACTGTAGGGTTCCAGCGGATCTGTTCAATGGTTTGAAAGTTTCAGATCCCCAGGAAGCAGAGTGTGCAAGTCCTCCGGTTTCTTATCCCAAAGACCACCAGCCCCAGGGCAAGCTGCTCAGGGAGGCTGAGGCCCAGCCCCAGGAGGACCAGGGAGAAGAGGAGCACTTCCATGACTGCAGCACCTCATTTGAGGAGGAACCAGGTGTGGACAAGGTTGAGAGCAAACCTGATGATGTGAATTCCTCGGAGCTTGATGAAGAATACCTAATAGAACTGGAAAAAAATATGCCAGAGGAAGAGAAACAGGTAAGTTTTGTTTTGTTTTTTTTTCCAGTTATGCATGATTGGTCACGTAAACTGCTTTTTAAAGTGAGTAAATGTTGCTGATGCTATTGTAGACTGCCTTATCTGTGGTTAAGAATAACTTGCCCATCTGTGTCTTTATTGCTTTAGTAATGATGCATCTGAGATAAATCGGTAGCATGAGAGGGAAGCATAGAATGTGTCTGCTTAGCAAAAAAAAAATTTCCATTTGTTTTTCTGTGAACTGATTTCTTATGTTCATCTTGTATAATTATTTTCTAACCTGTACATATACCATTTTAGCTTTTTTGTGACCTCGTCTTTGGTTGTCTGCTGAAATTCATGTACTAGACATTGTTTTGTCAGACCTTAGAATTGGGGATACTGCCTGTTTACGTTAGTGCCTTGTTAGCAAAAACTGACTGCCTGCATATCCTGGCGGTGGTTTGGTTTCAAGAGAGGAGTGACTGGGGCTTGCATTTTTCACATCGCCTTCTCAAGGAACAGAATTGTGTGTGGTAGCAGCTATACTTTGTTAAGCACCTAGGACATGCCAGCTCTTGAGCTTAAAATGTTACTCGTGTTTTCATTTTGTCTTTACAATACACCTTATGAAACATACTATACTGTTAGCATTCCTCAAAAGAGAATTGTTCAGAGTGGTTAAACAACTTGCCCAGTATCACACAGCTGATAAATGGCAGAACTCATTCGCAAACCCAGATCTGCTTGAGTCTGAAGCCAAAAAAATACAGTGTAGAATTTAATAACAAAATTAGCTGTTTTCTTACAAAGCTGATACACTAATAAAATGTACACTTTCCTGCTTCTTTGTCTCTGGGCCTCTTCCTTCAGTGGGCAAGCTTTTCCTTTTGGACACAGAAGTCTTGGCGTCTTCCACATGTCCCTCTGATCGCATAAGCAAGATCATGTGAAGAGTTACCATAATGTCTGAGCTTATGTGCAGAGAATATGAACAAGATTTGTAGCTTAGCCTCTGAAGAGCTGCCTTGCTGAATGGGTTGTGACAGGTTGGTGATGGGCTGAGACAATAAATGTGCAGTGACGATGGCAGTGGGCAGGTAGCATGAGATGAGAGGGGCATCTTCTCTTTGTCTCTCCTTAGGCGCTAGTCACTGTTAAGTCTGTTGTTTTTAACGTGCATATGTTAGCCTTCATGTTGGTGTGCGCCGCCAGAAGAGGAGGATAAAGAGCAAAAATGAGCCAAGTTCATAAACCTAACTCAGCAGAAATAACTTGGAAAATTAAATCAGTGTTTGATAACATTAGGGAAATGATTCTCCAGAAAGCGAGTGTTTGGTTCAGGTTTCGTATCACTGGTGCAGGCTTTTTCGGAAAATGTTAAAATTATAGCATTGCTTTTCTGATGCCTTAAGATATCTTGCCAGTGTTACAGTGAATTTTCTACAGTGCCGTCAGTTTGACAGTTGAGTGGTTTGGCCCCAGTGTTATACGCTCTCCGCACCCCAGTCCTAATTTGACAAAACTTTTTTCATGTCTCCCGGCCAGGAAATCACATTTTAAGTTCCAGAAATATTTAAAATTATTTTTATTAACGATCAAATATTCTAAACACAATATTTTTTTAAACTTAAAAAAATGTAGAATTTACAAACAGTGAAGCTGCTTATGGTCTAATGCATGCATTTCTTTGAGTTTCGATGGTTGTGTGCGCCCGCATAGCTCGCACGCCATCAAGAGAACACTGCCGCCCCGCCGGAGCGCCCTCCGGACGCCTGCCCATGCCCTCCTCCCGGCCCCACCGGCCTGGGGGCCGCTGTTCTCACTCCTGTTCCAGGCTTTCCTGTAAATATAATCACTTAAAATATAAAAGTTTGTAACAGTGTTTTCTGCCTTGATAGCTATTATTATTTTACAGAGGATGTAAACCGTCAACTCCACTGTAACAGAACAGCCACGAGAATGCAGACTGCCTTTGGCTAACTGGGGTGCTAGTCTATCTGCTCTTTTTATACTGTTCTGATAAATATCTTTGTGAAATTATTATTAAAAAACCAGCGAAGCAGGTAAAGGAATTGTCATCTTTGCTACACGTGGTTAGGTTTCATAGGTCGTTGGGAACAGGATATTTTTAAACTTGACTCTTAAAATAGACAAAGTTCAGATAATTCAGTAACAACAAAAATAAGCACAAATGGCCAGAAAATGTGAAAAGGCCTTTAGCTTTTCTACTAATGTAAATTTAAATTAACAGTATATCTCATCTATCAGATCAGAACATTGATCTGATAGTGACAAAAAGCAGATACAGGAACTCAAGCTGGGAGCTTACATTGCTACATCATTTTTGTGGGATACAGGTAACAAATTTTTATATGAAATGTTCTTTAAACCAGGACTGTCAACAGAACCTTCTGCAGTGATGGGAACTTGTTCTGCATTTTCACTGTCCAATATGGTAACCACTGGCCATAGGCCACCACATTTTAACCGTCATCTGGCGGTTGAGCACTTGAAATTGGGCTAGTACGGCTGAGAAACTGAAATTTACAATTTTTTATTTTAGTTAATTTAAATAGTCACATGTGGCGACTGAGTACTGCACTGGACAGCACAACCTTAAACCTCTGACTCTTTTAGTCATTAACTTTAAGGAAATTATTAGAAACATGCACAAATTGTATGTGCATGTGTGTGTGTGTACACAGAGAGAGAGCGGTGTTGCAGCAGCATAATTTGGAAAACTAGAAATAATGTTAGAGGGTATTACTTTAAACGTATATGGCATTTTGATGCACTAGTGTACAACCAAGTCATTAAAAAGTAAATAAGTCTTAGCAATGACAGAATAATGCCCGGAATGTAATGTTAAATGAATTAAGCAGATGTGATGATATGGTTTGTAATAAATGCATATCTGGTGTCTGTCCAGTTTTTGGCACAGAGTACCTAAAACCCTTGGAATTTCCTAAGCGATAAGAGATAAAGGTGTATTCACAACAAGCCCCTTTCAACCACATCTAAGTTAACATTAACAAGGCGACTTTTGGAAAGTCCCGCCCCACCCCCTACCTCCTGAATGGGGAGAGGGGCCAGAGGTTGAGTTAGTCACAAATGACAGCTGATTTGGTCAGTCCTTCTTACGTAATGAAGCCTCCATTAAGACTCCAAAAGGATGGGGTTCAGAGGAACTGAGTTGATAAACCTGTGGGGGTGCTAGGAGGGTCTCACACCCAGAGGCGTGTATGTTCCCCTCCCACGTACCTTGCCCTGTGCTTCTCCTCCATCTGACTTCCTGACGTGTAGCCTTTATAATAAACCGGTATCTAGTAAGGCAGTTGTTTCCCTGAGTTCTGTGAGCCACTCCAGCAAGTTAATTGAACCTGAGGATTCGGTCATGGGAACCTGCAATTCATAGCCAATGGGTCAAAAGCAGAGGTGACAACCTGGACTTAGAGTTTGCATCTGAAGTGGGGGTGGAGTGGGGCTGATCTTGCAGGACCGAGCCCCTTAGCCTGTGGAATCTGGTGCTGTTTCCAGGTGGGTGGTGTCAGAATTGGAGTAAATTGTGGGGCACCAGCCGGTGGTCCTTACAGAGTTGGAGATCCTGGGGTGGGAGACGCTCCCACACCTCTGGTCACAGAAGTGAGCTGGGTGAGTGCCGAGCAGAGAGGGGACAAGACATGCAGGAGATGTTAGGGTCTCGAACAGTCAGGGACGATTCATTGTAGTTAAAGACCTATGTGAAAATATGATTATACACAGAAGTTTGGAAAGATATATACCAAATTATGAAAAATGGGTAGCTTTCAGGGGTCTGATTTGGGGGAAGTTTGTTTTAATACAGTTTTCTGATACTTGCTTTTTATAGTAAGCATGCATTACATTTATACTCAACAACAGAAGTTAGTCCATTTTGAGAATCTAAATAAAAATTGGTTCCTGACAACCAAGAGGGACTTCATATCAAGAGCACATAAAGCTGACCTTTGAGGATTTGGTTAAATACTGTTGGAAGACCTGTATATTGCCAAATGGTTCTCTTTGGGCAGAATCCAGTATCAATAGCCAAAGTCTGTTTTTCAGGCTGATGTGACTTGCCCTGTGGCTGGGAGGATAATCCAGGTTCAAGTGTGCCCGTTCTCAGCAGAACTCATAAACAGGAGTAATTGAGGAAGAGGGAAGGCAGTTAAATTTGGTAAAAACAGGCAAAAATCTCTTAAAGGAAGAAGAGAGAGAGAGAGTGTGTGTGTGTGTTTCTTTCAGCAGCAAATCTTAACTATTTATGCGAACCTAGACAAACCGTAGGTGCGACAGCCTGGTGGAATGTGATCATCGCTAACACTGGAGACGCCTTAGAGCTGCGAAGCAGATACGTGATGCTGAAAGGCTGGGCTGAAGTGAAGGGCGGATCTGGGAGGGGAGGAGAACTATCGCTCATTACGACGCCCAGATGCTTACAGTATTGGGACCTACAGAATCTGCTGCGGATCTCTTACAGGATCGATCCTGTAAGAGAATTGCCTTTCATGGGCTGCTTGTCACAATGGAGTTCATAGGCCTCACATATTAATTCCCTGTGTAATTCTTAAGCACACTAAAAGTTTGAGGACCGCAGTCATGGGGCTTGCACGTAAGTCTTCATTAAATAGCTGTTGAGTGAATAACATGGTTATCTTTCCCATGAAAGCCAGTAATCTTACAAGTCACAGAGATTTTTATCTCATTCATTTATTCAAGAAATATTTGCATTTTCTCCCACATGCCAGACATTGAGGCCCATACAGATACAATGGTGAATGAGATAGAGGGTTTTTTCCTCTCGTAAATATTGGGTTGGCCAAAAAGTCTGTTTAGTGTTGTCCATAAAATAAGACACATTTTTCGTTTTCACCAATAACTTTATGGATTTGGATATTTTGAGTATGTTGGCTGTCTCCTGCTATTGGCTTTTAGTGGTTTAGAGGCTGCTAAACATCTTCCCGTGCGTAAGAGCCCCACAGCAAAGAATTATTTGAATA